GAGTGGGGATGGGAGAGGGGATGGGGGAGAAGATGAGAGGGGATGGGAGTGGGGATTGGAGCAGGGCTGGGAGTGAGGATGGGAGAGATGATGGGAGTGGAGGTGGGAGTAGGGATGAGCAGGGATGGGAGCGAGGATGGGAGTGGGGATGGTAGCGGACACATGAGCAGGGACGAGCAGAGATGGGAATGGGGATGGTAGAAGGGATTTGAGCGGGGATGGGTGCGGAAATGAGAGCAAGGATGCGACTAGGGATTGGAGCAGGGAAGTGAGTAGCGATAGGTGCCAGGGATGTAGGGACATGTCACCCTGCCCTCCTCCCTGTCACCGCTGCACACTCCGGCTGTGTGCCCGCCTCTCCCAGGTCACAGGGTGATACTGGGAGTGTTTGATCTAGCAGCGCCCATCAGCTCAAGGTTCCCCTTGCACCCCCATGGCCTAAACTTTCCTCAAGCCCCTTGGCAGCTGCCACAGCTGCCAGAAGTGGGGCAGGAGAGGGGGGCACAGGGAGGCTGAGCTACAGGTGGATGCTGGCAGCCTCGATGCTCTCATGGGGTCTACTCCAACTGCTGCTCCTGGTCCTCACTGATGGCCACTCCGTGTCCCAGGAACGTGGACCGCCCTGAGCTGTGTCAAGTCTCCCTCTATGACTTCCAGAAGTTCCTGCTGCACGACCAGAAGGTGGGTGCTCTTAGAGACCCCCCTCAGTCCCCACCTAGGGGCCCTTCATGGGATGCCCCAGCCCAGTTCCCCCCATAATGACAGCCATGTTTGCACCCGAGGAACCCTGGGCCAGTGATGTGGGCATGGTGCGGGACTACATGTGCGCCTACCTCAAAGAGGGCTCCAGCGAGGCAGCGGACCCCTCTTTCCAGCTGGATGAGGTGGGTGGCCCCACGCAGCACCCACCCAAGGGTGTCTCTCCTGTCAGGCTCTGACCTCTCTGCTTCCCCTTCAGTTCCTCACGTACCTCTTCTCCAAGGAGAACATGGTGATGGACGCCAAGTATGAGCGCGTGGTGCCCGAGGAGATGAACCACCCCCTGTCCCAGTACTGGATCTCCTCCTCCCACAACACGTAAGAACAGGGTGGACTCTCCTTGGGGACCTCCGTGAGCACCCCATCACCCCGACTGGGCGTCCCTGGCCTCTGATGGTCCCTTTCTCTCCTCTGCAGGTACCTGACAGGGGACCAGTTCTCCAGCGAGTCCTCCCTGGAGGCGTATGCCCGCTGCCTGCGCATGGGCTGCCGCTGCATCGAGCGTGAGTCCCCACAGCACTTCGCAGAGTTGCTGAGCCCCCCCCAGCACCTCGTGTCGCATCGGACAGACCGCCCCCTACACCCGCCCCACAGCACTGGGGTGGGGGGTCCTCCATGTCCTTCGGGGGCTTGAAAACATGGTCCCCAGTACGCAGTCGGTGACCAGCATGTGTTAACCAAGGTGTCTCCCCACTCAGTGGACTGCTGGGATGGCCCAGACGATCTTCCCATCATCTACCATGGCCACACACTCACCTCCAAGATCAAGTTCCTGGATGTGCTGCACACCATCAAGGAACACGCCTTCGTCACCTCTGAGTAAGGTCCAGCCACCCAATAACACCCCAATTCTGGGGCGGGCAGGCAACCTCTCCTTTGCCTTCATCCGAGGCCACCATTCCCACCTGCTTCCTGCAGGTTCCCCATCATCCTCTCCATCGAAGACCACTGCAGCATCGTCCAGCAGAGGAACATGGCCTCCCACTTCAAGAAGGTCTTTGGGGACATGCTGCTCACAAAGCCAGTGGACATCAATGCCGATGAGTTGCCCTCGCCCACCCAGCTCAAGAAGAAGATCCTAATCAAGGTGTGGAGCAGGCACCACCCCCAAAGCCCCTCTTTGCGGGAGGGACAAGGACTGTGTTGGGCTGTGAGGGATGGTGATTGTCCCAAATCTTGGGACTCAAGAATGACATCCCTCTGTGCACAAGTGGGACATCTCTTCAATGTTCTACTGCAAGAGACAGTCATGGGGAAGAGGGGGTGGTGAAAAGGGACTTGCAGGAACCCAAGCGTGGCCTGAGGGCTGGGAGCTCAGTGTGACCACAACACCATGGCCACCGCTGAGCTCCCCTCCCTGGGCTGTCCCCAGCACAAGAAGTTGGTCGAAGGGAACCTGTACGAGGAGGTCTCCACTGCCAGTTACTCAGAGAACGACATCAGCAACTCCATCAAGAACGGCATCCTCTACCTTGAAGACCCCATCGACCACGTAAGGGTCTCCCTGCTGATGGCAGCCAGGGGTGGAGTGGGGTCAGTCAGATGGGGATGAGCATTGGGATTTGGGTTGGGCATGAGGCACGGGCTCTCCTAGACCATTGCAGTGCTGGAGGGGGCAGGAGGGGGCAGAAACAGGCGTCTCAAAGCCCTGTCCCTTCATGCCATCATCCTCCCTGCCTGGTGATGCTATTCCTCCCTCCCAGACCTGGAGCCCCCATTATTTTGTCCTGACAAGCAACAAGATCTACTACTCAGAGGAGACATCCCGCTACCAGTTCAATGAGGATGAAGAGGAAGTGGAGCAGAAGGAGGTGTGTGAGGGGCAGGATGCATCCACGGGGCAGGGGGATTTAGGGAAGACTCCACGGGGAGGGTGAGAGGGTGGCAACGCCCATTTCGGGGTGAACTTGCAGGAGTTCAACAACAACGAGCTGCACTTCACGGAGAAGTGGTTCCATGGGAAGCTGGGAGGTGGCCGCGACGGTCGGCAGATCGCTGAGAAGCTGCTGCACGAGTACTGCACCGAGACGGGCGGCAAGGATGGCACCTTCCTGGTGCGCGAGAGTGAGACCTTCGTGGGGGACTACACTCTCTCCTTCTGGTAGGAGCCCCAGTGGGGAGGTAGGATCCCACCCTCCCTGAACCAGTCTCAGCATCCCACTGGGGATTTGGCCCTCCAGCCGATCCCCAGGTTGGTGGCTGGAATGGCTTTTTTTGGGGGAAACACCACCTTTTTGTGCAGCATGCAGACCCCTAAGCATGGGACAATGGGGACATAGACCCGAATTGACTCACCCCTGCCTTTCCCCCACCACCACTGCAGGAGGTCCAGCCGGGTGCAGCACTGCCGGATCCATTCGCGGCAGGAGGCCGGCGCCACCAAGTTCTACCTGACGGACAACCTGGTCTTCGACAGCCTCTACAGCCTCATCTGCCACTACCGCGAGGTGCCGCTCCGCTGCAACGAGTTTGAGATGCGCCTCACCGACCCCGTCCCTCAACCCAACGCCCATGAGAGCAAAGAGTGAGGATGGTCCCCATCCCCTCAGTTCCTTGGGCCCACCAGCCTCCTCCACCCCGTTGTGAGGTCTTGGGTGCCCCCCAAGGGTGTGGGGATGCTGGTGCCAGCCCACCACTTCCATGCTCTGCCCGGCCAGGTGGTACCACGCCAGCTTGACGCGCCTGCAGGCCGAGC